TCCTTCCTTCCTTCCTTCCTTCCTTCCTTCCTTCCTTCCTTCCTTCCTTCCTTCCTTCCTTCTTTCTTTTTCCTTTTTTTTTTTTTTTTTGACAGGGTTTCTTTCTGTAGCTCTTGCTGGAGCTCACTCTGTAGACCAGCCTGACTTCCTACTCACAGAGATCTGCCTGCTTCTGCTTCCTGAGTGCTGGGATTAAAAGCGTGCACTGCCAACCCCATCTCATTTCATGACTCTTATTAAGTATTGCTTTTATATGAATGATTTAGTTTTTAGGGTCATATTTGTGTCCATAATCAGCTTTAATGGTGTCACCCTGTTGTAAATGGTGTTATTATTGCCTTTAGCTACCCCTGTCTGAAATATGTAGAAGCATGACCTAAGCTGGTAATAGCTGTTGACCTTAATTCCTCTAGGAGTTGGTGTGCTTTTTTTTCTCTTTAGGATTGCTTGATGTTACCTTTTTTCTTTCTCATCTTTCCCCTCCCCCTAGTAGCTTTCAAGTTCTCCTCTTCACCTTTTTTTCATTCCTAAGTAATAATACTTAGAATATTCCCTTCAACTTTTTTCTTTCAAAAAAGAAAAGATCATTATCATATAGAGAAGTAATTGTACTCACACAAAGAGTGGTTACACCACGTGTGCTCCTTACCACCTTGCAGTTACCATGGTCTTTTAGTTTCTCCGTCTATTTACTGTAGGCATTCCTGTATGGTTTGATTCATTCAGTCCTTGTCTTTAAAATCTTTTAAGCCATCTTAAAAGCATGGTTTTTTTTTTTTTTTTTTTACTGTATTTTCCTTTCTCCATTTCACTTCCATCTGTTGAATCAGATTGGATCAGGCTATTATGATAGTAATATGTATGCAAAAGCACATTTACCTTCATATGCATGTGAATATGAAAAAATGAGAAAGCTTGTTCTTTATAAATACACATATGACCTTAGCCAACAGAGCTCTGTCTGGCTCATGATCACCATGAGAATAAACTATTAAAAAGTTCATACAGTGTACCTTGATTTAGTCTTGGTTTCAAAGAGTGACTTATTAAAAGTTGAGTCAAGCCAGTGTAGTGTGAGTTTGAAACTGCATAGGGCCACATAGTGAGACCCTGTCTCAAAGCAAACAACCTAAACCAAACAAAACACCCCCCTCAAAAGAAGTTGATTTTAGTCATCAGCATTGAGATTGTAGTGAAATTATGAGTTGATATAACTAACTATTCACCATGTGTCTGTGGACAAGCAATGTGTGTGGGAGTAAATAGTACTCACAGCTTTGCTGTGGTGCCCTACATGCCTTTATGCATTCTTTTGTTAAGATTTTCTTTTACTTTTCTCTTTTGTTCTATCTATCCTCGCCTCTCCTAAAGGGCCAGACTAGGCTAATTCACACGATACTGTGCAGTCTGATATTGCTTGCAGTTCCCATGAACTCCCTTTAGACAGTGCCTTAAATACTACTCTTTCTTTTCTATGGTTCTGCAAGACTCTTTAGTTGTACTTACTTGGCCTTCTTTTCCCTTTCAGGTCTCAGCTGTGGAGTCTCTGGAGGGCCCGCTGCTCCAGGTGGAAGGACTCAGTGACCTCAGGCTGGAACTTCACAGCAAGAAGATGAATCTGCACTTGGTTCTCATAGAGGAACTGCACCGGCATCTGTATATCAAATCCACTAGTCGGGTTGTGCATCATAACAAGGAAAAAGGGAAGATGAGGTTGGTTAAGGAACTCCTCTACTCTAGTGTCTTGTGGAAGTAACATTATTTGAAGAAGCATTCTTTTTTAAAAATTCTGTTCAATTTATTTATTTATTATGTATACAATGTTCTGTTTGCAAGTACACCTGCATGCCAGAAGAGGGCACCAGATCTCAATGCAGATAGTTGTGAGCCAACATGTGGTTCCTGGGAATTGAACTCAGGACCTCTGGAAAAGCAGCCAGTGCTCTTTACCTCTGAGCCATCTCTGCAGTTCCCTGAAGAAACATTCTTTTTATTCCAGAATATTGTGATTTATTTTCCTTATCCTGTAATATCTCTGAACTCATAGATGGTTTCATAATAGCAAATATGCTATATTCAGAGAGGCTAACATAAAAGTGCGTTCAGTCATTCATTGCATATTTGTTATGGTTCTCCTGTAAGGATATGTAAAAAACATTTCCTGTGGGTCTGTTACATATGGATCAGAGACACTCTTGTGCTCTCAAAGGGAAGTGAGAAAAAATGTTGATCAGTGACCAGTTGACCAGTTGACCAGTGAAGTCAGTGAAAATAAAAATCCTGAGCTATATGAACTGAAGTTTCAAGATTTAGTATGGTCTCCTCAGCTTTAGCAAATTTGTTTTGGAATAGCTCAGAAGAGGCTTAAGGAATAAACTCTGTTTTGACTGGTTATAGCATGGCCCTATGTTTAACAGGCCAGATAGGCTCAGGAAAGCTATTAAGTCAGTGTAGACCTGGAGTGGACTAACACTAGATCTTAAGATAGTAGATTATTGGAGTTATATAGAACCTGCACATAATGGATGTCCTCACATTCCTAGAGGGAAATGTAAGATATTTTCAGAAGGTCTTTCAAACACAATCTGCTGAAATACACACGTTTATGCCTTTCCATCCAGCTGTATACCAGGAGAGAACTGGAATTAGTGAATGCTGGGAATGAAGTCTTTCAAGTCTTGTGCTATGTGAACAACAAAGATGTTTTTATATGTGATGCTTCAGTATAGTCAGAGACTCAGACATTGAAAGAGATATTTCTGCTTCTGTTTAGCAAATGGGTAGTAGATAAACTAGGTCTACATATTAAGCCAGTGAGTTTGTACTCCAGAATTACTTCAAGCTTTCTTCTTTCTATTTTCTTTTGAGACAGGGTTTCTCTCTGTAACCCTGGCTGGCTTGGAACTTGCTTTGTAGACCAGGGTGGCCTTGAATGCACGGAGATCTGCCTGCCTCTGCTTCCTAAGTGCTGGAATTAAAAGTGTGCATCACCCCATCTGGCTACTCCACTCTATTTAATATTATTATATCTTCACCCTTGATTTGTCTTATGAAGACATGGCTCTTTTCTTTTCCTTCATTATTTTCTGATTTCTGTAGAATTACGGTGCCAGTGATTACTGTTTCATTATATTATTTTTGATGGATATTTTGCAGCTCAGTCTGATTTAACCAACTTTTATGAACATTTGCTCTTTGGCAGCCACTGTACCAAGCCATTGTTATAGAGGTTACTGACATACTAGTTTTTAGAGAGTGCAGAAATTAACTCACTTCTGTTGGCCTTTGACAATCAGATCTGCCAAATTAGCTGTATCTGGGAATTTTGTAAATAGTTGAGCTCATCTTTACTAACCCAAGGATTATAAATCAGCATTTACAAATCCAAGGAGCAGAAATATGCTATAATTAAAAAAACAAATGTTTTTTATAAGATGGATAACTTCCTACTGTTCTTTTTAAAAAAATGGAAGAACAGATTTTATGGATTTGAAAACCAAACACAAATTGAAGAAAATCCTAGCAAGATAATTTGTGGTTACTTTGTGGCCAGAAAGTCCTTGGATGAGTTATAGTGGTAGTGGGATTTGGGTAAATTCTAGTGGTAGTTGGATTTGGTTGGTGTGCTGTAGCCTAGGATGTTACATAGTTTTGTCATCTTACACTGTGTTGCTTACTATGTTACCAATCCCACAGCACTCACAATATACACTGATAGGTATCAGTAATTGATGTGTTATCAACTGAGCTGTGGATTATTCTGAATTCAGTAAAAATAAAGTTACCATGTGTATTTAAAAAATATCTCCTATCCACATTTCTTTCAAATTAAAACAATTCAGAACATTCTTACTAATTACAATCTTCAAGAGAATAAGTCTTTCATTTATTTGTTTTCTAAAATAATTCCCAGAAATTCAAACACCTTTGGGAAAATTAATACCTTTTCAGTTTTGTCTCTGAAGCATGGTGAGAGGGGCCTTTTCTCTTTTTTGAAACAAAAGCTAAGGTTCATTTACTGTGATAGCCTGCAATGGCACCCACCTCTCTGCTGAGCTCCATGTCTCTAGTCTGTAATGAGTAGGTGTGGAGGCTTTCTCTGAAAGTTCTGGAACAAAGTTCTTCCATAGAAATCCAGCAGAAGCCACACGTGAGTGTGCACACCTTTAATCCTCGCACTTGGGGAGGCAGGCACAGGTGGATCTCTGTTCGAAGCCAGCCTGGTCTACAAAGTGAGTTCCAGGACAGCTAGAGCTGTCTCAAAAAACCCAAAATAAAAAAGAAGTCCAGGACAAACCCTAGAAATTATTTCCAGAGTTACTTGCCCTTTAACTAGTGGTTACAGAGGAGAAAAATTAAGGCCTAAGGGAAAGTTTGTGTGTGTGTGTGTGTGTGTGTGTGTGTGTGTGTGTGTGAGAGAGAGAGAGAGAGAGAGAGAGAGAGAAAGAGAGAGAAAGAGAGAAGGAAAGAGGGAAATATCAGTGAATTACTTTTTCTAAAATTTTGTTGGCATTTTAGGGTCCTTCTGACTTTGACTATGAAGTTTGGCAACTATATTTTTAAAGTAGTAAGCCACTTTTTACCTTGTGTTTATCAGAAATATACTTTTAGGTTTATACTGAGAAAGTAATTGTAGATTATGGTCTAAGGTGAATCCCATGTCATCTGTGTTGATAGAAGTATGCACCATTACGCTCTCAGTGGGTACATACCATCATTTGTACACAGGCACTACCATTGCATTTTTAGTGCAAACATACCAGCATCCATACTTAGGCATAACCTGTACTGGTTTATTCTTAGAAATTACAGGCAGTATTCCAGCTATACATAAGCCTCTGTTTTTCTGCTCATTGATAGTTTTACTTATCCTGCTATACAAATAACTCCTTCAGTTCTTTAAATATTTGTAAACTATGTATATAATTTTCCTGTCATTTAACGTTGAAATTAACTTTTTCAAAATTGCTCAGTAGAAACACTGTAATCCTCAGTGATTATCTTGTTTCTATGGCCTGCATGTCTGGGGACTAGGGAGGTGTGCCAACTACAAGACTTCATTTTGTAGTTGGGAATAAAATCCAGGTGGAAGAAGAGTTAAGGTTAAAAAAAATGAGAATACAAAGAGACATGGTGGTGTACACAGGGCAGCTGTAGCTCAGTGATTTTGATGCTAAGGCAGGAACTCTAGCTACATAGTAGGACCTTGTTTCACAAAATCAAAACAATGAGCAACAGTTCATTGGACATATAGACTGCTGGATTTAGTTAGGTTGGTTTAACTACTTAAAAGCTTGATGGTTTCTATAGCCATAGAGAAGATTTAAGTGGAAATAACTATCCCAATTAATTTCCTATTACTTTACATATCTGAATTGAGTTTCACATTAGCTGGGAGTGATGGTGTCTGTTAGAATGTGTGATGTTTGCTTTACCTTAATCACACTTTCATAGTCAACACTGAGCACAGTGCCAACTACTAACACATTGCAGAAATTATCTGGGTAATGATTCCTACTCACCATAATCAGTGAAAAGTTAGCGACTATCACAGTGTCTTCAAGTCCTAGGATAATGGGTCATATGGCATTATCATGGAAATAAAGTAATATGACTGTGAGGGATGATTTTACTCTTTAACAATTTTTTCAAAGGTTTCAAAAAAGTATTGTCTTCTTCTTAGTTAAAAATGCAGGGATATAACTCATAGTTAACATTCTCACCCAGCAGGGTCTTTGATCACCAACATTGTTCAAAGGGGGGAAAAGAAGAGACTACAGCTAACACTTAGACTTAGTGCTTTGGTTCCAGAAGGATCATGGTAAGAGCATGGGGAAATATTACAGTGGACTAGGTCCGGATCAGGGGTTTATAATATGTAGGTGGGTCCCTACCCCCTTGGAGGTCAAATGACCCTTTCCAAGGGATTGCATGTCAGATATCCTGCATATCAGATATTTACATTATGATTCATAACAGTAGCAAAATTAGTTATGAAGTAGCAATGAAAATAATTTTATGGTTGGGGTCACCACAACATGAAGAACTGTATTAAAGGGCCGCAGCACTGGGAAGGTTGAGATCCACTGGTTGCTCCTGATTAGATCTGTTTCTCCATCTTGTCTCAAGTCTTTCCAGTAGGCTTGGTTTTTTCCTTCTCTTGTGCCTGCTCTCCTTTTAAAGAATTAGTTTGTGAATGATCTGCTGCTGCTGTTGCTGTGTTTTGGTCTGGAGCAAAGTGAGAACTGTAGCTTGTACTCGTGGGTTAACTTAGAGAACCTTCTGCTGTCAGGCAGTGTGGTTGAAGTTGTGGCTAGGGTCCAAGCTGCACTTGTAAATTAAGAGGTTTCCTTGAAAATAAAATTATAGTTGTCATTTATAGTCTTTATTTTATCTATAACCAACTTATTTATTTTAGTATCTTCAAATTAGATGATGAGAGACCAGGCTTTATTGAAACAATAATGCTGAATAAATCTGTTTGAGAAATTATTTAAGTTGGTCTTTATAGTGATTCTTAACTTAACAAAACTTATGAGTTTGTTTTAAAGAAAATGAAAAGGGATAAAGGGATAAACGCCTGAAAAATAAGTAAAAAATAAACTTGAAGAACATAAGCTTAAATGAGGGTTTAATACTATTAAACCTTCATTTAGTTACACCATGGTGTCTCGTGAACTTTATTTACTTACAACCAATCTTCACTATAGGTAACAATGGGGGTCAGATAGTTGCTTAGTGTAATTTTTTTTTTTTTTTTTTTTTTTTTTTGAGGCAGGGCTTCTTTGTGTAGCCCTGGGTGTTCTGGACTTACTTGTAGACCAGGCTGTCCTGAATTCACAGAGATCCAACTGCCTCTGCCTCCTTGAGTTTTGCGATTTCAGGTGTGCACCACTGTGCCTGGCTTTGCTTGTTATAATTTTATTATGAGATGGTTATCTAGACAATCCACAGTATACTTATAATAACTGTGTTAACATTTGGGACTGTTAGAGGTCATCTTTAAACCTCTAGCTGTGGCAACTGCTACATTGGCAATGTACTGGTGAGGTGTTTGAGGTCTGGGCACTGAATGTGACTTCAGTTGGGTTTGGAAAAAGTAGTAACTGCTGCTTGCTTTCCCCACAGTTCTCACAGCAAAGATGCCTCTCCTGGTCCTCTTATTGATGTTACAAACATCCCTACTCCATGCAAATTCCTTGATGCCACTCAGTATTCGGCTGCTGGAAGCTCAAATGGTAAGTTATTTTCTACATGACTCAGGTCAGTCTTAGTATATTAGAAAGCCAGGCAAAGACCTTTGGGATCCTGGAATGTTATGCCCTTTGGAATCCTTGCAGGAAAGAGATAGAAAACCATTGGCTGAACCTGTTGCCTTACCTGATGTAAAAACTGTCACCTAATTGGCCTGCCTGCAGATTCTAGCTCTGAATGTGTTTTATTTCAGTGGTCCTGTTAAGTTTCCTAAACTTTAATTTTTTTTAATTTTTATTTTTTTGTATTAATTACAGGGTATTTGCTTTGTATCCCAGCTGTAGCCCCCTCCCTTATTCCTTCCCAATCCCACCCACCACTCATTATCTCCTCCCATGCCCTCTCCAAGGCATGGTCCTTGGAGGGAAGGTCCTCCTCCCCTTCCATCTGACCCTAGCTTATCAGGTCTCATCAGGACTGGCTGCATTGTCCTCCTCTGTGACCTGGCAAGGCTGTTCCGCCCTCAGGAGGAGGTGGTCAAAGAGCCAGCCACTGAGTTCATGTCAGAGACAGTCTCCGTTCCCATTACTAGGTAACTCACTTGGATACTGAACTGCCATGTGCTACACCTGAGCAGGGGTTCTAGGTAATATCCATGAATGGTCCTTGGTTGGAGTATCAGTCTCAGAAAAGACCCCTGGCCCTAGATATTTTGATACTGTTGCTCTCTTTGTGGAGCTCCTGTCCTTTCCAGGTCTTACTATCTCTCCCTTTCCTAAGATTCCCTGCAGTCTGCCCAAAGTTTGGTTATGAGTCTCAGCCTCTGCTTCGATACCCTGTGGGGTAGAGTCTTTTAGAGGACCTTTGTGGTAGGCTTCTGTCCTGTTTCCTGTTTTCTCCTACTTCTAATGTCCATCCTGTTTTTTTTTTTTTTTTTTTTTTTTTTGAGTGAGGATTGATCTTGCTACCCAGAGCTTGGTTTCTTTAGGTATGTAGATTTATATAGGTTTATCTTATATTATATGCCTAATATCCACTTATAAGTGAGTATATCTGTGTGTGTCTTTCTGCTTTTGGGATACCTCACTCAGGATGATCTTTAATAGATCTCACCATTTGCCTGCAAATTTCATGATTTCCTTGTTTTTAATTCCATTGTGTAAATGTACCACAATTTCTGTATCCATTCCTCTGTTTAGGGACATCTGGGTTGTTTCCAGGTTCTGGCTATTACAAATAAAGTTGGTACGAATGTGGTTGAACTAATGTCCTTATTGTGTACTTGAGCATCTTTTGCATATATGCCTAGGAGTGGTATGGCTGGATTTGAAGAAAGCACTATTCCTAATTGTCTGAGAAAACTCCAGATTGATTTCCAAAGTGGTTGTACAAGTTTATATTCCCACCAGCAATGGAGGAGGGTTCCCCTTTCTCCACATCCTCTCTGCATATATTGTCACTTTAGTTTTTGATCTTAGCCATTCTGATGGGTGTAAGGTGAAATCTCAGGGTCGTTTTGTTTTGCATCTCCTTGATGGCTAATGACGTTGAGCATTTCTTTAAGTGTTTCTCTGCCATTCTATATTCCTCTACAGAGAATTCTCTGTTTAGCTCTGTTCCCCATTTTTTAATTGGATTACTTGGTTTGTTGCTTTTTAACTTCTTTAGTTCTTTATATATTCTGGATATTAGCGCTCTGTCAGATATAGGTTGGTTAAGATCTTTTCCCAGTCTGTAGGTAGTCGTTTTGTTCTTATGACAGCGTCCTTTGCTTTACAGCATGAGGTCCCATTTATTGATTGTTGATCTTTGAGCCATTGCTGTTGGTGTTCTGTTCAGGAAGTTGTCTCCTGTGTCAATGAATTCTAGGTTCTTCCCCACTTTTTCTTCTAACCAATTTAGAGTATCTGGTTTTATGTTGAGGTCTTTGATCCACTTGGACTTTAGTTTTGTGCAGGGTGATAAATATGGGTCTATTTTCATTTTCTGCATGTAGACATCCAGTTGGACCAGCACCATTTGTTGAAGATGCTCTCTTTTTCTCCATTGAATAGTTTTGGCTTCTTTGTCAAAAATCAAATATCCATAGGTGTATGGGTTTATTTCTGAATCTTCTATTTTATTCCATTGATCCACCATTCTGTTTCTCTGCTAGTACCATGCAGTTTTTATTACTGTTGCTCTCTAGTACAGCTTGGGATCAGGGATAGAGATAACTCCAGACGATTTGTTGTTGTACAGGATCATTTTGGCAATTCTGGGTTTTTTATTTTTCATATTAAGTTGAGAATTATTCTTTCAAGGTCTGTAAAGAATTGTGTTGGTATTTTGATGGGAATTGCATTTAATCTGTAGATTGCTTTTGGGAGGATGGCCATTTTCACCATGTTAATTCTACCGATCCATGAGCATGGGAGATATTTCCATCTTCTGATATCTTCTTCTATTTCTTTCTTCAGACACTTGAAATTTTTTTTCAAATAGGTCTTTCACTTGCTTGGTTAGAATCACACCAAGGTACTTTATGTTATTAGTAACTTTTGGGAAGGGTGTTATTTCCCTAATTTCTTTCTCGGCCCTTTTGTCTTTTGTATACAGGAGGGCTTCTGATTTTTTTGAGTTAATTTTGTATCCAGCCACTTTGCTGAAGGTGTTAATCAGCTGTAGGAGTTCCCAGGTAGAGTTTTTGGGGTAGGCTTTTTGCTATTTGGGAGGATGGCCATTTTCACCATGTTAATTCTACTGATCTGTGAGCATGGGAGATATTTCTATCTTCTGATATCTTCTTCTATTTCTTCAGAGACTTGAAGTTTTTTTTTCAAATAAGTCGTTGTTGTTGAGGTCTAGCTTTATTCCATGGTGGTCAGATAGAATACAGGAGATTATTTCCATTTTCTTGTTTCTGTTGAGGCTTGCTTTGTGACTGTCTATATGATCTGTTTTGGAGAAGGTTCCATGAGGTGTTGAAAAGAAGGTATACATTCTTTTGAGTTAGGGTGAAAAGTTCTGTAGATATCTATTAGGTCCATTTGATTTAGGCCCTGTATAAGTTCCTTTATTTCCCTATTTGGCTTCTGTCTAGATGATCTGTCTCTTGGTGAGAGTAGGGTGTTGAAGTCTTTCACTATTAAGGTGTTGGGATCGATGTGTGATTTAAGCTTTAATAATGTTTCATTTACAAATGTAGGTGCTCTTGTATTTGGGGCATAGATGTTCAGAATTGTGATGTCTTTCTGGTGGATTTTCCTTTGGTGAGAATGTAGTGTCCCTCCTCATCTTTTTTGATTAATTTGGTTGATAGTCTATTTTATTAGATATTACGATAGCTACCCCAGCTTGTTTTCTGGATCCCTTTGCTTGAAAAACATTTTTCTAGCCCTTTGCTCTGAGGTAGTGTTTTATCTTTGTTGCAGAGGTGTGTTTGTTGGATGCAGCAGAAAGTTGGATCCTGTTTTCTCTGTGTCTTTTTATTAGAGAGTTGAGTCCATTTATGTTGATAGATAATAGTGTCCAGTGAATGTTAATTTCTTTTGTTGTGGAATTGGTAGTGTTGCTGTGTTTTGTTTCTTGCATCCTTTTGATTTATTGTTGTGAAATTATCTGTATAGTATGTTTTCTTCCTTGGATTGGATTTTTCTTTCTGGCATCTTCTGTAGGGCTGCGTTGCTATGTACATATTGTTTAAATTTGTTTTTGTCATGGAATATTTTATGTTCTTCATCTTTGTTGATTGAAAGCTTTGCTGGGTAGAGTAGTTTGGTTTGCATTGGTGGTCCCTTAAAGTCTGCATGACATTTGCCCAGGCCCTTCTGGATTTGATGGTTTCTGTTGAGAAGTCTGGTGTGATTCTGAGAGGTCTACCTTTGCATGTTACTTGGCCTTTTTCCCTTGCTGCTTTTAATATTTTTTCTTTGTTATGTAGGGTTAGTGTTTTGACTATGATATGTCTCTTGCAGGACCAGTCGGAAAGCACAGGGCTTCCCCATGTTCTCTACTCTCTGATTTGATCCTGCTGGAGTAAATGCTTTTGTAGGCTAACAGTCAGCTCAGTGGTGCTGGAGCCTCAGATTTTGGCGTCCAGTGGCACTGTGTGCTGTGCTAGGAGCCACCTGCACTAGGGGCCGGGCACTATGCTTGGTGGCAGACTCTGCGGGTCCCCTCTGTAGCATTCACCTCTGCCATGGAAGGATTATGGCGGCTGGCTCTGGGGGAGTGCTGGGGGAAGGGGGATTGAGTATTCTTTGTCCCAGATCCTGAGCAGGGGTTTCTTTGCTACGAGCAGTTGGCACTGGAGGATGGCACTACGCTTTTTGGCAGACCCTGCGGGCTGCCTCAGCTGCCTCTCCCAAAGAGGAAGTAGGGAGGTGGATATGGGGAAGTGTCTGAGGACTGAGCCCCCTGGACAAGGCCACAGAGGGGTCAGCGGGTGACCTGAATCCAAATGGTTAGTCCCCTTTCTCCCTGGAAGACTTGATGTCATTGTTCTGGGTCTGTTCAGCAGACCCTCCACTCACCAATTTTGGAGTTTCAGATCCTTTGCCCCAAATATGGTGCACACTGGTCCCCGCCATCTTGGATCTCCCTAAACTTTCAAATGAATACTCATTGGTAGAATTTGTGATTTTCTTTTTGGTTATAATATTTATTGCCTTTGCCTGGTGATGGTGCGATGTTGCATAAATATCAGGCTTCATGGTAAGGCTGAGGGATGTTAATTGCCTGAGTTCCCAAGTCAGCACAAAGTCAGGGTTTAACACACACCAGCAGGGGCTAAGCAGTTAAGTAGCTCTGTAGAGTAGTCTCAAGGAAGACATCATCAAATGTGCCACATGAGCTATAGGGACGTATACACATTATTTCATATTTTTTCTTTTTTTGGTTTACTTAGTTTCTAATTTTTTCTAAATCTCTAACTCTAGTTGTTATTGTTATACCGTACAGACATTTTTTAAAATTTTTTATTTAACTTTTATTAATTACACTTTATTCACTTTGTATCCCCCCATAAGCCCCTCCCTTTTCCCCTTTCTGCATGCATGCTCCT